TTGTTGTTGTTGGTGTTGTTGTTGGTGTTGTTGTTAGTGTTGTTGTTAGTGTTGTTGTTGGTGTTACTGTTGTTGTTGTTGTTGCTGTTACTATCCATATAGATATTGTTCCTATTGTTTCAAAAAAGTAATGGAAGAGGGAGAGAGAGAGAGAGAAAGGAGAAAAAGGACTGTATCTATTATCTTTGTTGGCTTTATAAAGGCCAAAAATGTGTTACTAATAATGAAAAATTCTATTATTAGCTGAAAATTTTCATTTCATCAAAGAATAAAACATATGGAAAATATTAGAAATTAAATACTTATTCATCGATCCGAAAATTAATTATTGAATTTTTTTTAGTTTAGCAAATTTATTGTTTTATCTAACACGTAATTAGATCCAAAAATATACAAATTACTTTGCTAAAAATTGACAAAAGCATAATTATACTGTGATTTTTTTACAAATTGCTACCGAAGTATTTTAATCTGTTCCACGCTTTTCAACATGAAATCAAATATTTTACGTAGAAAAAAAAACAATTCTTATTTCCTGACTTTTTTTTCATGTTCATTTCCTGAATTTAAGTTCTAATTTCCAGTATATCGAACGGATAAAACGTAATATGTAAATTTTGTTGTTTTTTTTTCTTTTTTTTACTTTTTATGACTAATATTTGACAAATTGTTTATTTAAGCATACCATAGTGAAGAAGCATAAATTTTTTTTTACCTTAAATAACAAAGTCTCGCGCAAATTGACGAACCGGTGGTGGTGGTGTTATTGGATCCGGTATGTATCCTTGAATACCGTTCCTTTCAATGCGACATGGCGGTATCGGTATTGATTTGATCGATTTTACCCAAAATTCTCTTTGCGCTTTAACTACAGTTGCTCTACAAATTTCAAGAGTTAAGAAGAATAATTAGCAATTACCATATTATCAATCCTATGCATCTGATAAAATGATCTGAAAAAAAAGGTGCTGGTAAAACAACTCAAAAAAAACCACTGATAAAATCATAAAAATAATAAAATAGTAAAAGTTACGAGGAGAACTACTGCTTACCATAAATTGATTTTAATTAATATGCTATCCAGTACATTAATACTAATCAATTAAAAAAATGTGCAGACGATTAACTAATCATCTACCAATACTTAATCAGCCAATTAATGGACCCTTAATAGTACTTAATGAATTAATCAAAAAACACCCTATAGCAATCAATCAACTAATTAGTACACACTAATATTGGCAATATTAAACGGAAAGTTCGAAACTTATAATTAGTTACAAAAATTAATTAGCATTTTTTAAAATTTTATTTTGCTAAAATAAAACGATTTTACTGACACAAATTGCACATAATCATCATCGTTTAAATCATTTTTCCACCATAATTTAATTTGTTTCTTTTTTTCGTCATGCGAATGTGTCACCGAATTTTTGAAGCGAAAACATTGCTGTTGCCAGGAACCATTATCGTCTAGTCGTAGAAATTGTCCAACTCTTTATAAAAAATAAAAAAATAAAAACAGTAGAATGATTGAAAAATTTGTGACTGCAAAATAAGCTATTATCAAGTTTTTCTATATGACAAATTTTAATTCTTCATATAAATTATTATGTTTCTTGTCATTATTACTTTAAAATAATTTATTTTTGTGTAATTTCAAATTTGATTCTTAAAAACGGAACTATTTTGTCCTTTCGAATTTTTCTTTTTACCCTAATTACTTACCTTTTACCTCGATTTGGTCCTTTATAAGAAATCGGTTGAATAGCAAAACCACGAAAACGATCGATACTTGTATTTCCTTTCAAAGTTACTGCAATTGATATTTTTATTATTGCTATTATTATTTCTACTGCTATTATCATCATATTGTTATTGTCATTATTACTATTGCTATTTATTATTGTTGTCTATTATTATCATTATTATTACTATTACAAATTAGATATAACAATAAAGCATTAAATGTTCACTCAAAATCATTGTCAGATATAATAAAAATTAAAAACAAATTTCATTTTTAAACTGAAATTAGCAGAGGTTCAAGACTTTTCTTTGAACAATTAGCGGAAAAAACTCAAGTACAAAATTAATTTGAAATAGATTACATGCCATGCATAATTATACATTAATAGTTACATTATTTGTAAACTGTTTTAATGTTAACCAGAATTATCCCTTTTTAAGAATGCTGCTTTTTGTGCATTCATTTACATTATTTATAGTATCATTCAAATTCAAATTTGATTTTAAATTTCAATTGATTAATTGATTATGAATAAAATTCATATCTAAAGTTATAGAATATATAAATTTTGCTTCGTATATATATATATGAATAATAAATATTAGTATATATATGCAAATAATGTGGATATATATGAATAATAAATGCTTAGAAAAATAAAAAGACAAATGTTTGATTAATTATAATGCAAAGCTAATAAAGCATACATTCAATAGGTTGATTTATCCAATAACATTTTTGTCGAACTGCAATATGATATGGTGGAATAGTAAGCTAAAAAAAAAGAAAAAAATAAAAATTTATAATCGTTACTTGAATATTTGAATTTTCCAAATTGAAACAGCAAAATAAAAATTATTATATTTTAAGAAAAATGAAATTTTCTGCAAACTAAAATCTGACCTGCAAACCACCTTGATGTTCAACAGCTTCAAGTGGATTCATCGATTCAAAAACGGCATGAATACATGGTGCACCATCAGGCCAAGCTATTATGACTGTTATCAGTGATAACATATTGAGTAGTAAGTACATGTTTGAATTTAAAATCTGTTCCAGTATAACTGCAAAAAAGAAAAGAACTAAAAAACGAAGAAGCTAATACTATTAAAAGTGTTTATTTAGTCATTCACGCAGAAAGTACATATGAAACGTGTTTTACACGCAGTTTATAGAGATCATACGTATAACAATACGTTTATATAATTTCTGTCACGTCGATAAAACATATGTTTTACACGTAGCTTATGGATATCAAACGAATAACAATACGTTTGATAGTTTACGTAATGAAATACTTCTATGGTTAATTAAAAATAGAATATTTCTGTCAAGAAAAAAGAAAAAACATATATATTTAAAAAATTATAAATTATTAGTAAATGCTACCAAAAAGCATTTTATTAAGGCTTACATCAATTATAGTACAACAGTTAATTATAGCATGATATATTGCTAATTATTTGCTAAATTAGCTTAGCAACATAATTTATTTTTAATAATTTTATTTCAATCTAAACGGTACTACTAGTTACTTACGTTTTACTTTTATTCCAATTTAAGCAGTACTATCAGTAAATTTTATTC